GTAAAGATTTACACCCTCGGAAACCCTGTACAGGGTCGCTATGGGTCGGAACCGACTCGACGGCACTTAACAACAACAACAACAAGGGAAGTTGGTTGAGCAAACAACAAAAGTAGTAAACTCAATGAGATTTTATCCCCTCTCTAGAGAAAATACATTCATGAGGATATTCCCGGAATCTAAGTCTCTCAAGTATTTCTTCCTTTTCTGCCATGATGTTACTGTTATTTTTTATCATTAAAAGTATTTAATTTCTATTTTCTCTAGGCATTTTATTGCCATAGCTGATGAAAAACTTTTTTTTCCTGTCAGAATATAAGCTACAGAAAACACACGTCTAACTCCAACCTAGAATAAGGAACTAATAACTAATTTAAAATATAAAAATGAACTTAGGAAGTAGACACATTTTCTTTAAAATTCACTAAAAAATAATAGAATATCCTTAAGGTGTAGAAAAGTTACTATTTTATTAATTGTTGTTAAGTGCCATCGAGTTGATTCTGACTCACAGAGACCCAGTATAGGGTTTCCAAGAAGTAGCTGATGGGTTTGAACCACTGGCCTTATGGCAAATAGTTTAATGCTTACCCTTCATTGCCATACACCAATTAGAAATGTTGATTTTTAACACACTTTCAGACACTTTACTAACATATAAGCTAAACTCTCTCTTGAGTGAAATTAAATGTCATTACTAGCTAGCAAAAGGATTAAAAAGTGAAAGTAGCCATTTTTACTTTTGAGGAAGTTGCATTTTGGTAAGATCACACTGGATAATATGTAGGAAGGAGTCCTGGTGTGGTGCTGTGGGTTAATGCATTGTATTGCAAAGTTGGTTTGAACCACAAGGTTCTCAGAACCTTCTCAGAAACCCTACACAGGGTTGCTATTGGTTGGAACTGACTCGACGGCACTTAACAACAAACAATATGGAGGAATAATTTTGGTGAAAACCATGAAAACAGTTGGGGAAACCACAGTCTGTTTTTATAGGATTTTGAGAGTAATCAAGGTTTTAGAGAATAACAAGGAGAAGGAAACCAAAAAGGGGATTTTTTTCCTTAAAGGAATCTCCCAAGCCTATTAAAAAAACCAACAAAATAGCTGATAGGCTTAAAAAATACATTTGAACACTGGATCGCCCAAGAGAGGTACCATGCAGTTCCAATGACTTGGCTGGAACCCTGAAGTTTTATGCTCTAAGAATAAGAGAAAATAGGGAATAGACCAAATCACTCAAGGCCTGAAATCCAGCTCATTAAATTTTATAATTGAACTAAGATGACTAAGCATTGTGAGAGCCCACAGTCTGGAATCCTGGCAAAACAAAAATTAAACTTCTATAGAAGATTCTATAACACAAATCTTCAAATGCCTGATAGCTCCTCAAAAATAAACTGGCATACAAGGAGACAAAAATCATAGGAAAGGAAACCAAGCGAGAAAACAGGTAAGAGAAACAGACTTACAAGGGATCTAAATAATTGAGGAATCAGCTATGGACTTTAAAATAACCCTGGTTACTACATCCAAGATGCCAATGATGGCAGTCTAGCATCTCCACTCCTACACAAGAAAAAACAAAGGACAAGAAAGAAAGGGCGCAATTCACTTGAGATGATGGACTCAGAGCTCTAGTGATCACTCCAAGACATATAGGAAGGTTGAGGTAAGAAGACTCTTTCTCTCAATTACTTATGAGATTCCCTCCCACCATTCCCTCATGCAAGCCAGAAGCCAGGCTGCAAAATATACACAGTGAATTCACTCCCCAGGGATAGAAAAGGGATACAGGAATTTAACTTTTGCTGAAATTCCTGTTACTAGAAAGTTTTAATATTTTTTTGACGGTAGTCAATAAAATGGATCCACAGGAAGAAATTTTCCTCTTCTACTCCTGTAAGACAGGTAAGTTTTTCTCTTCAATGCTTATGAGAGTCCCTCCTGCCCTTCCCACAGGTAAATAGTGAATGGTATGTAGACGTGCTTAGAAATACAGTGACTATGCTCCTTAGCACTAGGAGAGCCACAGAAGAACTTAAACTGCTACTTCAACGTCTTTATGTTGTTCTGGATGCAGCAAGGAAAAACCTAGTCCCCTCCCATTCATGCAAGATAAGAAAATATTTGTCTCCATCACATACAAGATTCCAGGACTTCCCCTCTTGCCCTTGTTGTTGTTGTTGTTGTTAGGTGCCATCGAGTCGGCACCGACTCATAG